CTCTGCCACTTATCAACTAGGTGCTGACAGACGAGTAGTTAAGCTTCCTGAGCCTCAGTTTCTTCATCTACAGGTTGAAAGTAGGAACACTACCTGCATCAGAGGTTTGTGGGCAGATCTGATGGAACCATGATGACAATAAACAACCATACCATAGCTTTCTATCCTCTTATTAAGTTCCAGACCCTATGTCCAACAACCTCCTAGACATTTCCACTTGGATCTTGCTCTTTTCTCAAACTCAACACCCCTAACACCAAATTCATCTTCCCCTATCATTAGCCAGGATCTCCTCCTAACTCCTCTGGCCCTATCCCTGACACTCCCATTCTCCAAAATGCCTACTGCCAATTTTAAAATTACACAAATGTGTTTACTGCTAGTCAGACTACAGTGGAAATGGTAGCCTCGATCCTTGCTGCTAGCAGGCTCATTGGGAGCAACACTTGCACAGCGAATCGAGTCATAAACGTGTTCAAACCCAGCAATTTGACTTCACTGGAATCTGTCCTAAGGAAATAACACAAAATATAGAAAAAGCTGCTTCCCAAGATGTTTAGAACAGTATTATTTATATCAGAGAAAAAGAGAAAGCGAGAGAGAGAGAAAGGAAGGAAACAATTTAATCATCCAGGAAATAGTAAGCTAACTTACAGTACACAGTTTCAACAAATGTTTGTAGTTAATAAAAATGAGAGGGAAAAAAAATGAGAGGAAAATGCTAATAATAAAATAAGTTTAAATGGTAACATTTAAAACTGTAAGTGAACTTGTCCCTACATAAAGTAACAGATACTTAAAAGGAAATATACCAAAATGTTCCATTTCACTCTGTCAGTCTCAGCATTTGTGAGAGACTCTTCTCTCCTCTCTGGTTCCAGATATTTGGCCCAAGCCCGGATGTTACTTGATTTGCTTTGACTATGGCCTCTTATCCCAGATCTCTTCTCCTTCAGACTGATCACTCCTTGCCTGGCTTCTACAAACCTGTTTCATTACTTCACTTGACAATCACTAGTTCTTGCTGCATTGGTCCTTCGAAATCCCACCCCTCCTCTCCATTCACAAAGCATCTTATTTCAGACCCTTACCATTTGTCTCTTCCTTTGCTGCCAGCAGTGTCATCCCTCCCATCACCCTCCAATCCATTTTCCTGGCCCTGCTGACAGGCAGGCAGCTCTCAAATCTTATCATTTGACCTACTAAGAGTTCTTCAAGCAGGCCCTCTCACCTGCAAGGTAAGATACGAGCTTCAACTCAGACAAACAAGACTTTTTCTGATCTGGCCCCCAAACTGCCTCAAGCTTCTGCCAGTCAGGCCACCACTCCTCTCCCCCCACCAAGATCCTCCAGTCCAACTCACTGTCCTGTCTCTACCCCTGGCCTACATAGCACTCCAGTCACGCATCTGACAGTGCGAACACCCTCAGGACAAGAATTCTAGCACTCCATCTCATGACCAACATCACCCTGTGACTCCCTCACTGGACAGGAGGAAGGAGCAGGCTGGCGTTCCTCACCTTTCTACATCATTGCCATGTGTATTTCCACTACCAGCTCCCATTTCCCCTTGCCTGGAACTGCCTTCCCGCTGCCCTTCCCAAATTCTAACCTTGCTCTGCCCAGTATGCAGGCACTAGCCACATACAGCTACTGAGCTCTTAAAATGCAGCTAGTTTGAAATGAGACATGCTATAAATGTACAATACACACTGGATTTCAAAGACTTGGTATGAAAACCAGAATGTAAAAAATATTAATATTTTATACCCATTACCTGTTGATTACAGATTAGATCTGCGGGATTATATAAAATGTATTATTAACATTAATTTCACCTGTTTCTTTTTACTTTTTTAAATGTGGCTACTAGAAAATTTTAAGTTACACATGTGGCTCAGTAGTCTAGCCATCCTTCAGGGACCAGCATGAGTAAAACCTCCTTCAAGATGCCCTTCTGTTTGTGCCACTCTTAATGATCTTTTTTGACCCCTTGAAATCCTATAATGGAGTCCAACATATAAGCCACTATCTAATTACATACCTACTATATGCTTACTATTACATCAATTCTTCTTGCTATATCAATACTATTTCTATATGGGGATTTGTAGTAGGTACTCAACTTTTGATTAAACATGGAATCTTTGCTGGAGCAAGATAGCAATACACAGAATTTTTTGGTTTCTGTTTTGTTTTGTTTACTCATTTACTCTCCCATTGATGATTTCAACAATAGAGGGAGAACTGGAAGTCAGGGGACCTAAGAGCTCTTTGTTCTACCTGCAATTAACACAATACACATAGGCCATTTAGTCCATGGCTTGGCCCCGTGTAAGGTCTATCTGGGCCTCAGTCTCCCACCTTGTAAAATAAAGTCAATAATAACAGGCCAATCTACAATATGCAGCCAGATTAAAGTAGCTAAGCAAGTTCTAACTGGAGCCATTACCATGAATGAGAAATACTCCATTTTCCACAGTTCATTGTGTGTCTCTCAGCCAGTTGTCTTAAACACAGACTAATTTTTATAAAGAGAGAACAAATTCACAGCAATTATCAAAATATAAAGGGTGGTGTGGGAAAACACTTATCAAAATACTTGTCCTATCCTATTAATAATGGGAGGCAAGTAATGGGAGAGGAAATTGTTACATGCCTGCTGCAAACTGAAGTAGTTTATACATTATACTCCCAATAACCTTTACAAGGTAGACATTACCATACCCATTTGACAGAGTAAAGAAGGTTCAAAGACAGTCTAAGTAACCAGCCAAAGTGATGTAGCCACAGGCTGCAAATCCAGATCAATGGTATCATCTTTGTATGTAAAAAAGAACATCTTTATTATCGCTTGAAGACAAAATATGTGAAAAGCAAGAGTATTACATAAATATGCAAATGAAAATACAACAATAATGTCCATTCATTTCCCTCAAGTAGTTTTCTTGATCTTGGCTAATTCCTGTCTTTCAGATCAAGGGGCCATTTTTTCTAAGTAGATTTTTTCTTTTTTTTTTTCCTAAGTAGACTTTTTCTTAAAGTAGCAAATAGGGTATATGATGTGCTAGGAACTAGTACATTAATGTACCGTGTTTCTTTAAAGTCTTTAAACCACAGTTGTTAGCGAAAGTTTACGTTAGACATTGTGACTAGAATTCTTCAGACACATTTACAAAAATGTAGTCCTTATGGATAAAGATTGCAGCAATAAAGTACACTGGGTCATTCCACAAATAAATGCATCCACAAAAAACAACCTAATATCAAAGAACCTATGTTACAAAACTGAGGTCATAATGAGCTCAATGAAATGAAAAAAGAAAGTTCCTCAAAATAAGATACTGCACCTTAAAGTGAAACCACAATTACACAGCCTTGAAAACGAACTACTTTCTCAGAATGCTAACAATATACTGTGAATCTCTAAGAAGCCGAACTCATCTAGGTTTAATTGATTCTGCCTTTACAAAATGTAGCCAACTTAATCCTGCAGACTTGGACAGAACCAAAGTTCAAATTCTCTACCACAGAAAAAGTCCCAGAGTATCAAATGCTTTAAAATACTGTTCAACTTTCCTTTATCAAAAATGTCCCAGCAGTAGGTGTTAATCAGTCACTACGAAGAACTCCACAATGCAACCTGTGTGTGCACGAGATTTTACTACAGGGAGGAGACAGTTCAGTTTACCAAGGACACCACACTTTCAAAAGTCTTGAGAACTAATCCTTCTTAACAGTAAGTAATTAATTTACATTTCATTCCAAACTGAACAAGATAGTGTAAATCTCAAGGAATCCGAGACTGTGAATAACTTCACTTGGCGAAACCAGGTGTGTGTGTGTGTTTCCTCAGAGGTACTTCACAGGGTATAAATAGAAATAATTAGCAACTTTTAATCTCATAAACAAGATCTTTATTTAAAATTCTCACATATAAAATGAATTCTTTTATGTCATATTTCCTCAAGTGACAGACACATTAAGACTATGTGTCCTATATCAGGTGTTTTTTCCTCATTTTAAGAATAAAAAAGACATCTAGAAGAAACAAGGTGTCCTTTTCTCAGCCCCCCAAAACACTACAGACAGCACAGGTGTTTGGTCCTAAACAAAAGTTAAGACTAAGTAAGGAAGAAAATAGAAAACAAAACAAAGCCTAGCAAAGCAGCTAGAGATCACGTGCAGCAGGTGACAGGAAGCCTTGTGGACACTTCACAGCCACAAGGATGAGCTTCATCGCAGGTCAACTGCAGGCCCCCCTGGGCTCCACAGAACCTCCACCCAGCAGTCCATAAAAACGAAAGAAGGCAAATAACTATCACTGTCATCCTGGCAATGAAGAAGCAGCAGCCTCCTTGAACCCAGGAAAGCCACCCTCCCTCCAACAGACAGGAGGAGCCCCCTTCACACCAAGGACACAAAGAAACCCAAGCAGCCAGGCCCAATAAAAATAAAAATAAAAAGAGGAGCATGGGAAGAGAGATGACAGCTAAATTAAATAGGAGCGTTCCGAGGCTCAGTCTATTTGAAGACTCCGACTCAAAAGTAAAAATAAAATTTAAGGGAAGGGGGCCCACAAGAGATGACATTTCAATTAAATCTGTGCTGGAAACACTTGGAGACTCAGTCTACTTAGGGTGTCAGAGTCAAAAATTAAAATTAAAAAACGAGAGGAGAGGTGACAGTTCAATGTGTATGTGTGTGCGAGGAGCACCTGGAGTGCAGGATTCGCTGGGGAGGGGAGAGGCACGGCTCCGCCGACCTCGAGGTGACCGGGTGCGAATCTGGGGTAAGTTTACAAACTGGGCGACAGGGCAGAGCCCGAGGGCCAGAGTGCCCGCTGTCGGGGAACAATGCTGGGCCCCGGAAAGGAGGGTCTCACGCCACCTCCACCCCCCCACCCCCCACGCCACGCCGTCGGCATCCCAGCCGCGACCCTCGTCCGGCCCACGTCGGGGCAGGTGCCCACGAGCCCGGCTCCCCAGCGCGCGCCTCACCCAGCAGCGCCCGCAGGTGCTTCAGGCGCGTCAGCACGTCCTTCTTGGGGTCCAGCACCTTCTGGGTGGACTTCTTCACATCTCCATGGCTCCTTCGGGAGAACATCCCGCCGCGGTAAACCCGGGCCCCGCCGGCGGGGCAGGAGGCGCCTGCGCCGCGCGAATCACCGCATAGGGTCCGGGACGGCGCGTGTCGCGCGGGCCACTCGCCGCCCCCCGCCGGGCCGCCACCGCTGCCGCCGCCGCTTCAGCTGTGGCTCCAGGAAGGAGGGGCGGGCCGGGTACGGCGAAGGGCGGGGCAGGAAGGCGGTGTCGACGCGGATCGACCGCCCCGCCCCGCGGGAGGTGCCGGCCGGCCCTTCGGGCGCGGCGCACGCGCATGCGATTTGAACCCACTTCGCGGGGGCGCGCCCGGAGCGCCGAGTCGGCACAGCGAATCACGAAGAAGCTTGGAGCTTGCACACGCTGTACTACAAGTCCCTGAATGCACTGCGACAGAGCCCTCCAGTCAGGTTGGCGTGTCTTAGGCACGATGGGAGTCAACGGGCTGGGTCTGAGCACGTTCTTCCTCCTCACCCGGCTGAACGCCTCAAGGCCTCTAGGGAAGTGTAGTTCTCCCGGGGGCGAGGCGCTGTGACTTACCTTTCCTGGGTCCCCAAGCCGCTGGACAGCATCGGCCCGCCCCCTCCCCAGAGGGGCCCAGGGCTCCCAAAGCTTCACTGCTTGGTCGGTACTATCAACCCAGTTTCCTCTAGTGCAACGTGAACCACAAGAACATCTCAGTAAGAAAAATTTCAAGGCTTTTAAAATGCAAACTATTTTTCGTTTTGACTTCTAGATTCACACCAAGGAGGGAGTCGAAGTCCCTTTGACTAAACTAAAATCAGAGCTCCCAATTTCACACTAAAATGAATGGCTTTGGTAGCAGGAAGGGCATCCCTAGACTCTGGGTGAGGAGTCCAGCCAGTCCCCCTTGGTTCCTGAGATCCAACTTCACTTGGGGTATGAGGTTGCCTTGCCAGAGGGTTCCTCAGGATCTTGTCTCTTGCCTTGTAGGAAGTGCACGTTCTCTGTGTTGTGCAAGGCCGCATAGCAATCCAGTAGCAGAACCAGAAATAGAACCTGAGGGACCTGACTCTCAGGCTGGTATGCGTTTTAAGGCTAGGTGCCTGTAACTTGGAGCAAAACTTTGAGATGGAAAATGGCCTGGAGATGTCTTACAAGAGATCTGTAGGATTTTTTTACTGGCATCTGGATCCTTTGATGCTCCAAATTTTGACAACATTAAGCTGGCTGTTTAAAATCATGTGCTTTCCATCCAATTGGGACAACACAACTTTTTCTCATTTGGGGGAACCTGTAACTTGGGGGAAAAGCCAGAGATTTACATAGCTTTATATTCTTATAACAAGCATGATGTTTGACCTCTAGAAGCACTCACTAAATGTTTGTTAAATAAAATGGAATAAAAGCTAAAATAGTCCTATTTATCTCATCCAGGCCTGCAAAAACATATCTTCTAGTTGTTAGAGCCTATTTTTAGAGTTGTCAAAATAGCATTGATAGAACTAGGACATATTCATGCAAAGGAATATTATTCAGCTCTAAAAAGGAATGGACTACTAATAAACCCAATAACATGGATGAATCTCAGATCCAGATATGAAAGCCCCACACTCAAGATGATGCCAGCCTGGGTCTTTTGAGATGACATCTCAAAAAGGGCCACAAACCCTCCAAGACTGTTGCAAGAGAGAAATAGCTTTTTCTTTTAAGGCATTTTGAGTGCCTTTTTCACAGTACTTAGCCTGTACCTAGTTACACATAGTATGTCACAGTATTCACTGCCCCATCCCTTTAGAAGAAGATACCTTTGATTGAAAAAAATAGGATGCACTTGTCTTAGGAAATTCAAATTGTCTATCACACAGCAACCTGTCATTGTCATCAAACAATTATTGAGGACCTGCTATGTGCAAGGCATGAATCTAAACCTTGGAGATAAAGAGATGTATTAGATGTGGTCTCCTGTCCTCAAAGTCTTCCAATCAAGTTGAGGGGGTTTAGTTTAGTTTAGTTTAGTTTAGTTTAGTTTAGTTTAGTTTAGTCCCTTTGACTAAACTAAAATCAGAGCTCCAATTTCACACTAAAATGTGTTGTCAATAAATAGGGAGAGGGACAGAGGGCGAAGGAGAAGCAGACTTCCTGCTGAGCGGGGATCCCCTTGCAATCTCCATGCAGGGCTTCATTCAAGGCCCTGGGATCAGGACCTGAACTGAAGGCAGACGTTTAACCAACTGAGCCACCAAGCGCCTCTGGGTGGACTTTTTTTAAAAAAAGAAAAGAATGTAAGAGCCCTCAGGTGGTTAAGACCGTTTCTTGGTAACCAATGGGGAACCTGAGCTGAACTGGGTATGTGTTTCAAGATTGAACCAGGGAAGAGCACAGGGCTTTAGAGCTTTATAATTTCCTCCATACACCACTTACCAGAAAAACATCATATTTTTCCGATGATAGCAAATTGAATTCAGGTGTTAAGGAAGACAGAGCCCAAGTAACCATGACAGAGGGAGGGAAATGAGAGACCAAGAGGTCCCAAAGAATAAAGAGAAACATTTATTAATTCCTGATGCTGTCTGTAGTAGAATTTTATTTTTTTAAAGATTTTATTTATTTATTTGTCAGAGAGAGAGAGAGCACAAGCAGGAAGAGTGGAAGGCAGAGGGAGAAGGAGAAGCAGGCTCCCCACTGAGCAAGGAGCCCAATGTAGGACTCCATCCCAGGACCCTGGGATCATGACCTGAGCCAAAGGCAGATGCTTAACTAACTGAGCCGTCCAGGCGTCCCTATAGTAGAATTTTAGAAATTTTTTTTTTGTTTTTGTATACAATTTACATAAATTCAAACCAACACATGTTTATTGAACAACTGACACAGCTAAAATTGTGATGACCATAGCTTTGTACTTCCCATTCTTCTCTATTTTACTGAAAATTGGTCTTTCGAGGACCATGTGAAAACTGCAGCTCCTACCATCATTGATGTTAAATACTTATCAAACAGTTCTACAATTCATCATTGTTGGGTTATGCCCAGCACAGCGCCAGGGTCAGCATTCAATCAATATTTGTTGAATAAATAAATTCATTCGTTCATTTCTTCATTAATATCTCAGTCAGCATTATTAGGGAATGTTGTTTAATACAATGTTTTCAATTTAACTAATGTGTTATAAGACATCCAAATTTTAAAATTTTACCCTTCTTTCCTCAGAAATCTTTCTAAAATATAGACAGACTGCTCTGTCTTCTTAAACAGCTTATTCATTGTTTGTGAAACCATAATTTATCCCCCCACACACTGTGATCTCCTTCATCTTTTCTAAACTGGTGTTGCTACTAGACACAAAGGAGAAATGTCTGGTAGAGATTCCTCATCTAATTTTGACCACATCTTGCTCCCAAATTCAGTCACTGCTATCAGAGACAATTTGTTTGCCTTTTTAACTTCCATATTGGAATCTTTCTATACGTTTAGACCTGCCAGCTCTTAGTTTCCAGATAACCTAAATGTTAATGTATTTGCTTTCTAATTTTCACTCATCAGAGTTTTTTCAGTTTGGAAGGATTTGGGGTTTTTTCAGATTGACTAAAATATCTTATGCCCACATATTAATCCTAGTTGTCATGAATATTACATTAATTTTAGTATATGGAAAAATTCAACTTTTAGCTGCAGATTTTCCTCTCAGATAAGCTCATTGTGCCTGTCCTCAGGAGTAAAATCTTTTCGTACGTCAGACATACTGTGGCTCTTCATTTGGATGCTATTGCCATAGAGAGCCTGCCCCTGTGAACCCCTGTGACACAGTCTATTTTTACTGATCATTGGACCTTTGCATTCTTATTTTCTTAAAAAAAAAAGCTACGACCTAATAAACTCAATTTTTTTCTTACATCAGCTCTTACCCTGAAATGTTGAATTCATTCAATGTGTATGTTGTGCCCCTGTGAATCTGCACCCATCTAAAATCCCTAAGAAAGAAGGGATGGCCCTCCATAAGAATGAAATGCCAAACTCAACACTTAAGAAACAAGAAATCCAATGTCCTCATTTTCCAGATGATATATTACTGTAGACACCGAAAATATATTTTTTTCTCCTCCAAAAATATTTCCTAATAGTTTCTTTTCTTTCCAAATAACTGTCAAATGAGAAGATTTAATACTTAACTTTAAACTTGACTATAAATCATTTTATATGAGAATTTCACTTCAGGACAGACCTGAAAAAGTTTTTGAAAATGTACTAGCCATTTTGATATGTCTGGTGGACGCTTGATAACAAAGCAATGCTTTAAGGGAAAAGAACCTAATCGTTTTTCTAAATTTAGTCAAGCAGATGTTTTCACAGCTGTGCATTTCAACCACAATGTCATCTGCTTTGGATATATTTTCATTTTTTTTTATTATCAGAACAGTATTAACATTTTAGTAAACATGTCAACATTAGAAAAATATAAGCCCATAAGTAAGGATCATAAGAAATTTTATAAATTAAAAAAAGACCCATATCTTTGAATGATAATGTTGGAAAAATCAAGAATCATGGAAATTATCTAAATAGTAAATACAACTTGAATAGAAGGATGATGTACAAAGGCTAGAGAGATGACGTTTCAGAGGTGAGAAGCCTGTGAAAATGTGCTCATTAGCTCACCTCTTCCCCCAATACACAAAATGCCACCATTAGGTTTAATATTAGATAAGATTTACTCCCTAATTTAGAGCCAGGTGCTAGATTTTCTAAAAATGAATGTAGATTATAGAATGTCAACAAAAACTATTCATTTAAAATGGAGAAAGCCATCACAGTTTTATTTATTAATTCCTGTAATTTTCTAGAAAAATGAATCTCAAAATAATTCTTAGAGAACAATAATTCTTATGAACCATGAAACAAGAATACAAATTCTTTTACTAATATACATGCAGATGTATGTCCTAAATGGAGACTGCCTTTACCAGGTATTTCAGACAGCATTCTCAATTTTTTTTTTAAAGATTTTATTTATTTATTTGAGAGAGAGAATGAGAGAGAGAGAGCACATGAGAGGGGGGAGGGTCAGAGGGAGAAGCAGACCCCCAGCTGAGCAAGGAGCCCGATATGGGACTCCATCCCGGGACTCCAGGATCATGACCTGAGCCGAAGGCAGTCGCTTAACCAACTGAGCCACCCAGGCGCCCCAGCATTCTCAATTTTAAGCAACAGAAATTGACT